GGCTTATGTTTAAACCAAATTTGACAGTTATAAAGATGTATCAGTGTAACAAATTTGAAAAAAAATCCATAACATTTACATTTGTTTTTTTTATGACATAAAGTTTCGTACTTTAGGTACGAAGAAAATTTAGAAGAATTTCAATCAAAATTGGAGTTTTTATATCTCGTGCATTTCATAATGTATTGCTTTGAAATTTGGTATGCTAAGTAAGGATTTGGTAGAGCACATACACCTAAAATATGTGGTGGTTTGTATTACCACATTCCAAGGTATAGAAAGTGGAAAATCGCAGGTTGTTTTGGCCGCACGACATATTACCATGTGTCTTGATAAAAAGCAAGTTAGCCTATATTGAGCTAGTGACTCTGGTAGGAGGAGTTACTGAGTGATTGGACCTGTTAGTCACTTTATGAGTAATCAATGCACGGTTTAGTCAGGTTTTCTGTTACTGATAACGAGTTAGTTACTTCAGTTTGTTTTGATAAAGAAACAATATACAAGAACTGCTATACCTATTAGCAAATCACCAAATAATTGGAATTATTCATTTCGACCTATTGGGTGGACAATGTTAAGCATTGTAGAACATGAAGTTCAAGAAATAAACTGTCTTTGTTGTCGCTATCTGGAGAGAGATCGAAAATTTAATGAAGATGGGGGAAAAAGTCGAAAGAGGACCAAAAACGAAGAGATAAGAATTTAAAAGAGATGTTATAAGAAAAAGAAACGCGATCTACAGAAGAATTCCGAACAAAAGTCAATTTGTTCCAGAGAAGATCAAGAATGGCATAGGAAATGTACAAAAGTATTACAGCACTAAGATCAAATAAGCTATGGAATATGTATGAAGGCCATTAAATCTAGGATGAAATATATAAAAACTAAATGAGTAAATGCAAGGATCAAACGAGCCATACCTACCCTCTCGCTATCTATTTCTCCTATGCTCGAGAATTTAATCTTCAAACATCATTAACTTTGTAATACTGCAGGACTTTCTTTGATTACTCTACCTACACCACTAAATAATCAAACTACATGTGGCACGCCAAGATCAACAGCTTTGCCCAATCAAAAACCAACAGACTATAAGGCATAGTAGACACAGTTTGAAATCATTTCGAAAGTATGTAGATGGAAAAGTAAAGATATGCTATTCATCTTACTTCTCATTTAAATAGACCAGCTTTGAAAACATTAAGCAATCTTCCAGCTGAGACCCATAGCTATTTGACTGCCTTTTCAAAAAGATCTATAGTTACCTCAAATGGAAGTTTCTAAAACAGTGTTTAGGGGAAAAGTAAAAAGAATGATACCTTAGCCAAATTTGTGAAGAGGTTTACTCAATTACCTTATCCAGATGATGTATAATAGTATAGAAACATCAACTATATTATTCCAATTGCAGCTTAAAGGAGCATATGGCCAGAAACTATGGCCTTTGGGGAATGAATAGTGCTCCTCAAGGATCACGGGAAAATAAACTTTTAGCAATAAGAAACCTTCCAATAATAATTAACCAAGAAGACATTTACCCCAAGAATGAATACCATAGTTAACCTGATCAAGCGGATGAACGTCATGATATGTAAGACTATTTAGTGTAGATATTATTGATTCATTTATTTTGTAATGAATATTTTTACGATTGTTTAGTTTGTTCATAACAAGAGATCTAGAAGCAATTATTTTAAAGTATATGTTATGACAAGTTTAGTTACGTAAATTGGTAAGCGTCTTATGTTGTGTCTATAACTCATTATCGTTGAGATTATAGAACATCGCGTGAAATTTATTGATACAGAGGATAGAGCGAGCAGACGATTAAGTGATAAACGTATAAATAGTGCGAGATGAGCGGGAAAAGTAGCAGACGAGAAAGTAAAGTCATGGGAAGTAGACGTTCAGCCAAGGAAAGTTAAACGTAAAGTTAACAGCCACAGAAGTGAAAGGCCAACCGATAACATAGCCCTAACGATTAATATGTTAGAGGAAAACTAACAGTTTTAAAAAGAGATGCAAAGTATAGTTTATTCTGTTAAAGCGAGTTCTAAAGTAACTGAACCAGACTGAATGCACTTTGACAAAAGGAAAAGACGATATCTGAAGTACGAGGACCAGACGATTACTGGAGGAGCAGTATACGACCGTGGTAACTCACGCTATAATTGTAAATGAATTATACACGGAATACTAGTGGATAGAAATAGAGAAAGGTAGTTCGGCTTGTCAACTGAAATTCTAAAGCAATTGAATAGGCCTAAGTGGACTTTTGAGAAGAAGAAGAGAATTATATATAGTGTTTATGATATGTATATGATCTCTATAGTCTAAATAATTTGTTGTACACACGTTTAACAAGTTCGAATACTTGTATATATTATTTTGAAAACAAGTGGAATGCGGGCTGTTTATTTTTTAATTTATCGCTAGCAAGTCGCAGACAACTACTGTAGAAGAATCTTTGATAATTTCTAGTGGATGGTAAGCTTATATATCTAAAACTGCTGTAGTAATATAAATTTTATATATCCAAACATCGAAGCGTGTTGTGTCTATTTGGAAAGCCAGATAGTGTAAATGGTGGTTTACAAACAAAAATACTACTACTATATATAATATTAAGAAGAATAAGCCCTCAATTTTGGCAAACAAACTTCACCAAACAGTAACTAATTGGATTTAATTGGCAAAATTTGTACAAAAATATTCCATCTACTCCGTCTTAAGATATTTAAAGAAACCAGACCACCTGTCAAATGGTTTCATTACTGCAAAGCTTAGCAACAACTTGTCGAACAATGGATCTACCTTTGTTCGACCTGATTTCGTAATAAAAGCTGGAAATTCGTTATAGAAATGTAACAATATTAATTGACCGGAACAGTATCGAATTAAAAAAGTTCCAGCAGAAGGAAATTTGAGGTTGCAATTATGTTGATGGTTAGGGCTGCTTTTGGAATTGGAATAAAATTCTGGCCAAGAAAAGCCATTTTCATTAGCTTATGTTAAGTTCTTTGAGTTAAGATTACCAACTGTAGTTTGGGTTTTCTGAACACTTTCCTAGGATGATTTTGTTTGATTATGCATAAGAATTTGTTTGAAACTTTAGTTTGGTTTATTCTGTTAGTTGAGATACAAAATATTGTTGAGTGGTGAGAAGACTTGTTCTTTTTCTGTCTACATTAAAGATGATTTTTATACGGTATTATTCGGCTGAATTCAAATAAGTACTACTACTGGACTCAGTATTACATCCTGCACTTTTAAAGGTTTTATACTGACGTTATACTTTCTGATTAGTTGAATAATAACCAATCATAGCGACTCACTGCGCGCTTTATTTCCGCACAATAAACGGGTGGCATTCCTTTAATATTTGCGTTTTATACCTTTTTTTTTCCTTGCAGTTTCTATGGTTACTTCCAATAATTTAGAGAATAAGAAGAGTTTCAAACACAACCATTCTGGAGTCCTAATGATTATTAACACTGTAATATATAGATAAATATGAACAAACATTCCAAAAGCTGAAAAAAAAGTGCAGCTTAAGTGTCTTGAAATTAAACAAAATCACGTAAAATTATCTATTGATAGTACTAGCAAGCAAAGCTTAATACTTACTTCATTATACAAAAGAGCAACGTACAACAAATACAGGATTTTTTAGAATTTTACCACAAGTAACTTTCTTGTTTATGCTAGGTATGGTTAAGAAATACATCAATTGCTTAACACTGTTGTAAAAATCGTTCAACAGTTAACATTCTACGGTTTTTAAGATCGAATGATAAAATTTACAAACATCAAGCATACTTTGTAATTTACAACAGTTGTACAAACATTCACAATATCCACCTTTTCTCTTTACATTCTGGCACTTCTATTGGCAGGAAAATTAGTCCACAACTGGGGCAGGCATAGTTACTTTAAAAAAATATACACATCTATATCAGAAATCCCACAAAAATATTTCCGAAATCATCAGTTTTTAACTTACATCAACATAATATGTTTTTAAAGAGACAGCAAAAGTAGTCACCATCACTTAATCAAACTGATTCAAAACCATCTTGTACAACAAAACATGAAACGGATCTGGAGCAAACTGTTGTCAATAAACAATCAATCGTTTAGATAGGCGTACTGTACTGGCTTGCATCGTATCTTATACTATGATAAATTTGGATATACAGGGAGGAGTAATTAGCAACTTAAAGATATCAAGTCCTTTATCTAAATTGTTTTGTTAAACCCATCGTTTATATCAGTGACTGGAGAATTCATTCTTAATATAACTATCATGCCCTCTATTACGTTTCTTGTTAAAGGTGCGAAACTAATAGTATGTTGGGCAAAGAAAATAACATGTCAAAACTTTTGTTACGTTCAAACTATTCAATGTTGGGTTATGAAAGTGTTGAAACAGCATAAAACTATTCATTATTGGGACACGTTAAACACTATTCAGTGTTGAGATACGCGTCAAACTATTCAGTGTTAGGATACAACATGCAATAGTAATGGACGATTTATTATTAATCAAGTTGTTAAGAGCTTTATTTATCCATTTCAAGGTTACTGGTGAAGAGTAGAGTTTTAAAAACTTGTCTAATGAAAAAATTCTTACAAAATCTATTTTTTTCAGACTAGAAATTGGTGAAAGTCATCAAATTAGTTGTCTTCATTATTATTATCTAACACCTGTAGATTGATAAAAATAAATTATCAATATTTGTACTTGCTTAAAATCATGAACTATGAGTTATTTCGAAGTGAATACACCATTATGTATTTCAGTACTTCTCAGACCAAATTTCTCAACAATTTTTTGGCTTATATAGAGGTAATTACTATCTGGTTGCTTTTGATATCACCAACAATCTTGTAATACCTCCACTATTACTCTACTAATAAAGAGTGTCTCCTGGTATTATGGACTTACATAATACATTTTTAATCTTTGTGTTACAGTAAAAAAAGAAAATTAAATTACACATACTTTAACCAAGTTTTATTTACCAGTGATCCAGTACATAAATTTTATGATACAAAGCTTTTCTTAAAAATACCACAGATTCACAATCGAGCCCCATGAAAATAAAATGTTAAATAATCTACCATTCAACATTCAACCACTTGACAGAACAAATTCTTGGTATTTTTACTAACTATCAACCAAAGCACTTCTTAGGGTAGTCTTGGTTTACCATTCACAAAGTCACACAGAGGTTATTACACACACCACAATTTAATGGACCTCTTCTGTTACAAGGTTAGGTTTTAGAAACAATAGCACTCTTCTTCCTTGTAATATTTCTCCAACACTCGTGTAATTACAAAAACTAACTTTCTTGAACTTACTCATCATTATATTAATTCCGAATAATTAGTACATTAACCTGGGAGAGCAGAAAATAATAAATCTACAAGATGCTTAAAAACTTCTTTTTAAAGCAAAATCCATTAAAAAACGTTAATTCATAACACTAATTCACAAAAAACTTCACTGCAATTTTTCTTTTAAGATTAGTAATGCAATGTAAAGAAAAAAAATACATGAAAATCCATTTCTAGTGTACAACTTTGTAAAGGAATAAACATACATGGGATATTACCAAGGACAGTGTGATCACAGTACTTAAAACAAAAATCAACTTAGTGAGATAATACAATTATCAATGTGCAAAATTGCACTTTATTTTTAAACCCACCTTACAAATAAACTTAAAAAACAACACAAAAGTCTAGAAAGTAGTAACTAAATTACTTTTTTTTTCCAAAATCACAGATACTCTAAATGACTCACACCATTAATATGTAATGTTTGTTTCCTGACACCAAACTCAAGCTAAACACAAGATTAAAGACAGGAATTAAGCATTTTCTTCAATATTACGGAAAGGTGTGTAGGTGGCCGATTCACGGTATTTTTTCATTGCGTAAGGTACAAGGTAGGCCACCAAAATGCCACAGATAAATGCTAGTGGTATGGCAAGTCCCATAGCAACAGGAGAAACTATAAGAGAAAAAAAAAAAATTTAAAACAAGAAACACCTCCTTAGAACATTATATGGATTTCAGGGTTGTAGCTACGGTGGGCAGGGCTGCCCAGGACTCCCGTGCAATGCCATCCGAAACTAACTATCACTGAAAAAAACAAAAACAAAATAAAAAACAGAGTTCACCAAAGCACAAAAAATTTCTTTGGCAATGTAGCAGTACAGTTTTCTTTGCAATTAGCTTGTTAAGAACAAACTTTTCCTGAAAAGTCACAAAGCAAATAACCTTTGCACTAAAATACTTTTCAAGAACAGTCAATAGGAAACAAAACCTGCACACAAAACTGAACAAACAGCCCACACCATGCTAATTCACTTGTACTTAGCATGGCACATCAGACAATATCATCCATAGTGGATAACATACAAAGCACATTTTCTTTCCAATAAAAGTTTATGTGGTGCATAAAAATAGTTTCAAAATTTTATGGATATCTAAAATATAAAAGCATATCAGTGTGTTTTTTGCATAAAAACTTTTTTAAACTTATGGTGACTAGTCTGTATCAATTACCTGCTGTTAAAGATAGATCAATCAGAAAAACTAAACAGCCTAGAGTAAAATTTGTCTCCACCTTTAATTTTTTAGACTCGTTCATCTTATGACACATGTTTACCTAGTGACTGCTTGTGTGGAGTGTTTTACTGGACTTTCCTAGGGAATTCACAAATTTTAAAAGTCATTAAAATAACGATTTCGTTTTTCCTGGCCACGGGGAGGGGTTCGATGGTGGCAGCCACAGGCATGTATCTATGGGCTAGACTGGTTTTTACCACCCACCACTCAAATCATTCTAGCTACAACCCTGATGGATCTATTTTAATAATTCATATGATCTCCATTATTGATGTTTACTTCAAGAATAAGTATCTACTCACTGCTACATTTCTTACATCTTATTAAAAAATCAAACAAGTATGAATTCTTCTCTCTCTCTCTAAAATACTTCTGAAATGAAATGGCATTTATAAAATTCCTTTTTTTCCCACCTGTACATATCTTTTTAATACTAGTAAGATGAATGTTTTGGATTATGACAGTAATAAGTGACACTAAAAAACACAAGTTGTATGAAGGGAACTCAAAACTGATACTTTGTTAACCCTTTTGAATCAGTTATAATGCTAAATACAAAATGACATTTTGTGTTGTTCAATCTACAGTATAGGAAAGGTATTATTAATAACATAACTTCCTACCCCAAGTAGTGGTAAAACTAATATACATGGAAAAACAAAGTCTACCACTAAATAATCACTATATTTGTTTACAAATTACTTTACTCTCTTAAAAAAAGAAATATTCAGCTTACTTCCACTAGATTTTGAGGGCTCAGTGGGGGAAGGAGTGGGCTGGATTGCAGTGCAGTTCTTTTCATCTGAGAAGTCCCCACAATCATTTACACCATCACAAATCCAGTCAGGGTGTAAACAAATTTTGTTTTCACACTGCATGCTTGGACCACAGGCTGTGAAAATTAAACCATTCAATCAGTGTGAGATCTGAGGAACATTTTACCAATTCTTATTGTTGAGAGGCTCTTCCCATGGCTGAAATGCTCAACAATTATGGTGAGTGGTATAAGTAGCTCATATCTTTGGTTCTGAGTGAAACCAAGAATGCAACACAATTAACTTTTTTTAAAGTCATGAAATAATTTAAATTGATAGATTAACTTAAACTTTTCCCATCACTGTGGATGGGTACTTTTGCTTTAGTTTAATAGTAGGATATATAATAGTTCTATATATATATATATATATGGTATAACTACATTGTCAGTTAAAGTATAATTATTTTATTTGCTATATTTACATTTCTTGTTGCTTCCTAAAGTCTTATTATTACTGAAGTTTCTCAAGGCTTATTGTGTTTACTTTTGACTTTTACACAAGATTTAACTTTTTTATAACTTTCTATTTCCTGTTTCATGTGTTTTGCTAAGTGCCAGAAGTTAAAGCAGTAGTAGTTATTTTAGACAAACATCATATGTTTAACATTGTCTTCTTTGTAGTAAAATTATATTTTAATTACCTAACCAATACTCTAGCTATTTATTATACAATTAAGGTATTAATTTACTTCCTTATTTATTATTTTGTATCTTATAAACATTAGTTTTGGGCTGTACTGTTGGTATTGTCATATGTGAGCCTACACATCTAGTGGGTACTCATTTGGCCACAAGACTTTTTTTAAGAATGACTGTGGAAAGTTTTCCTTATGAACAGTTTTACTAATATTATGTTGTTTAACAAACTTTAAATCTACAACAGTACCTACAGTATATTAATGGCATCATTCGATATCAGCTGTTATCTGTCAGTTACAATTTTAGTGCAACAACAACACCCACAGTTACGTGTTAACTGTTAGTTATAACTCCAACACAACATTATTGAATGTTGTGTGTTAACTGTGAGGTATGATTCTAGCACAATGACATCACCCAATATTGGGTATTAACTGTTAGTTATGATACAAACATAATGACATTACCTTATGCTGGGTGTTAAATGTAACAGTAATACAAAAAAAAAACTGTTATATATATAAAATATTCCCTTTACAGAGGGTTGATCATGTTAAATTATATTTTGAATATGTAGATCAGCAAGTCACATGACAAACACAGATAATATAAAGTTAAGACATGTATCAAATTAAATTCTGACATTGGACGGCTTTTCATACATAGTATGATACCATCACAAATTGATCATTTCGAAAAATGTATGTAACCGCTTTTCTGACAAAATATTCATACACTCAGACCATACAGATGTGTTAAGTTGGGGATTTAGAATTTCCAAGATGAGGCAAGAATCCACGAATGCAAAAGTCAGTGGCAAAAGCTATCCACATGCCGCAGGGAACAGTAGAGAACATAATCAAGAAGGATTTCCATCTGTAAAAATAGCACAAGTAACAAACTGTTTCCATGACATATGGAGCAAAAGAAAATCGACTGTATGAACGGCACTTAGCTAGGGGAAAATGGCAGTATATGGTAACATTTGAACAAGTCTCATATCATTTTCTACTAGTCAATGGGCAAAAAAATTTCCAAAAGAAGTATATAGCATATCACAAAACCTTTTCAAAGGATTCAAGATCATGTTGGATACTGCTCTAGTGGCAAATTAGGGATCAGAAGAGTGGTTATAAAAAATCAAGCTCTTATTATAAGACCATTATTCTGAATTATCTGTACCATACAAAAATATAAGCTCTGTACGGAAATTAGGACCATAGTTCATATGTTCACCAGGAAGATGCTTCCAATCATACTGCTTGTTCAACAATCACATATCTATATCAGCTGGAGAATGAAACCGCATTCAAAATATTTATGGCTGGTGTTATCAGAATAGCCCATAAAATATGGATCTGAAAAAAGCTGTAAAGATCACTGTCAAGAAGAGATGATGCTTGCAGTAGCTTCATTTCAGGATAAGTATGATTAATTGATTAAGAATGATAGAAAACATATAAAGTACCTTACAAGACAGCTTTTAAAATACCCAGCACCGTGTCCAAAATTCAAAGAATGAAATGTGAATCTCAATGTTCCTCTGGTTAAATTTAGTTCACCTAGGACAAGTAGTATTTAAGATATATTCATTTTGTATAAGAGGTTTTTTTTTATAATTACCCTGCATGTATAGGGTAATTATTTTACTTTATTATTCAGATCCCTATTCTTCTGATGTGAGATAAGTTCAATAAACATTTCTGTAATGATCAGTCAGTATTTCTACCTTAAAAAACCTAGGTCTTAAAGCTACAATTATATCACTTCTTACAAAATAAATATAGCTTACATTTTATTGCATAATGAACAGTAACATTTGCTGATGTATTCTTGGCTGGCTGGTAAATAATCAAAAGCTCATTGGTTCTGCTCCATATACTTGAGGCTGTAAGGTTTGTAATCTGTGTATCTCGTACTGAACCTCCATCATATATCTTCAGTATACTGAAAATAAATGTTCATTAGTAAAATTTAAAACCATGAATCTTACATAAACACAAAAAACAATACAAACTTATTACCACCACCTTATGAATCTTACATAAACACAGAAACAACACAAACTTATTACCACCACCTTATGAATCTTACATAAACACAGAAAACAATACAAACTTATTACCACCACCTTATGAATCTTACATAAACACAAAAGACAATACAAACTTATTACCACCACCTTATGAATCTTACATAAACACAGAAAACAACACAAACTTATTTTCACCACCTTATGAATCTTACATAAACACAGAAAACAACACAAACTTATTTTCACCACCTTATGAATCTTACATAAACACAGAAAACAACACAAACTTATTACCACCACCTTATGAATCTTACATAAACACAGAGAAATTAATACAAATATATTATTACCATTTTGTAAATCTTGTATAAACTAATCTTTCACCTACAGTTGAGATATGATGTGTTCATATCATATCTTTATTTTTATCAACACTCATATTTTTAGACAAAAACCTTTCTAACCTCTTTATATCTAATTGGTTCTTCTTGTATCGCACTATGGAAATTAGTCACACCCACAACATTCCTTGAAAATCTAATCAAAACACTTCTAGGCTGTCACCGTAGTTGACCTTGATGTCGCTCCACCAAACATTTTCTCATACTTCACTTTTAATCATTCCCAGTTTGCCCACAATGAATAAAGGCCTATCTTTCAAAGGTGCTCAAGTTCTAGCATTTCTTATTTTTGTAAATACAATACTGAACAATGTAGACAAGTTACAAACCATACAGATCCATTTTGTGTTCTTACTTGCTTTCAATTTTGAAGGTTCCACTATGATATAAAAGTGTTGTTTTAAGCTCTAGAATATGCAACACAACCTTTGTTCAAAATAGAAATTGGTGTGATTACAAAAAAAAACAAGAAAAGAACCAGCATAATTTGTTTGATACTTTTTACATTGGCAAGATTTATCAGTGCAACTACGTGGGACATGTAAAAAAATAAAGTTTGTTGGTTTCTAGCACACACACACACATGCATAACCAAAAAACCAGGCAGAAACAGATTCTGTTAACAATCAAAGTTCAATACCAACTAACCTTTTATCTTCTGGTTTTTTAATAGAAAATGTAATAATGTTGACAGCATCTCCTTTAGTGGGTGGTACTCGGATGATCCAAACACACGAGGTAACATTTGGTCTAATTTCAAGTTTTCCAGAATCGTTTGTATGTACTCCACCACAGTCTGAAGACAAAAAACATAAATCACAAATATCACACAAAGGTGAGAGTGCTGCTATATAAAAGCTAGGTTTAAAACAATCAACATTAAAAGAGGAAAAAATTCAGTTTAGCATTACCTGGATTACACAAGTTAATTATATACTGCAAAACTATCACATTGAAAGTTACGGACAATAAAATAGCATTTCATTAGACATAAACAATACATATTCATGGATAAACTATTGAAATGTCTGGCTTTGGAAAAGATTAGAGCATGAAGTATTTCCAATATTTATAAGAATTTTAATTAATTTGAGTTTTTCATTTTTAAATGGTATAACAAAAACATTAATTTAAAACAATGCAGAATTAGATTACGTACTTTTATATAATAACCAACTAAACACGAATATATGTGAAATTAACAGCAAATGTACCAAAAATTATATTAAGTTCAAATAACACATGGAGTTGGAGTTTGAATGAGGCACAATAAGGTACACATAAAATACATTAGTTATTTACTCAATTTTATTATCTTCTATGATTATTTTATTTGAATTGACTTTATTATTATTTATAAGAACTAGACTTCTTTTCCCTAGAACTAGTACTGTAACCACAGTGTCAATAGGAGAAAATTACATTACTAATTCTAAAAAAACACAAGTGAAAACAAAAGAAAATGTGTAACTGAAGCAAAATATAAAAATACTTACTATAAAACTACACAAAAATAATTTTAAATTAAAACCCAAAACTTTGAAACAAAATATTGATATTTCTATTACATTTCACCAACATTACTTACCAAGAGCTGTTACCATGATTTCAAATCCTCTTCCAACAGTCAGATTTCCAACAGAATAAGATAAAAAGTTTATTTCTTTCTGTGGTTTTAAAAGAAAATCATTTGGAAGAGATGAATTCTTTTCCCCAAGGACAACAGTTTCTGTTTCTGTCCCATTCAAGACTCCCTGTATAGAAAGTGTGTGATTCTGAGTTAAGTCCAGGCTGTTAAAAGTGATGTGAAGAAGACCACTTTTACTTCCAGGAATGCCAATGTTCCAAAGACACTCTGCTCCAAGTGGATAACTGTCAGGAAAGTTTGGAGAGGACACTGTGCTGTACTCTCCTAGAGTCATGTTCATTTGTTTCTTACAAGCTAAAAAATAAAAGTATTTCAAAGCTGATAATTGTGTCAGAATCCTAACTCAGATTACTAACAAGACTTACCAAGTAAGCTATAAATATAGTTGCATATGACCAAACAAATCTAGTGCTATTCCACAAAACTGAAATACAGATTGGAAAATTTCAAGAAAGACCTTTTCTGCTGTCAGTATAATTTCAAGATTGATTAGCATAAGTTGCTAATCAATTTTTCAAAAGCAATTTAAGCCTTGGACTAAGATTATGAAAAAACAAGTTTTGTACTGCTTTTTTCATGAATAGTTGAACAATTCAGAGAATGTGAAATGCATAAGTACCAAAATGTTTCTATAAATCTTTATCTAGGTAACTGAGTATCTTTGATTATGAGTAGTACTTATGATTTCATTGAGCTTCTGGCATTCTTACAATTAAGAACAGTGAATATTATCCTTATATAATTGGCTATGAACAATTTTTTACTATATTCAAAAAATGATATCTTAAATCAAAAATGTATCAAACAAGGATTTCTCAGTCTTCCTATTACTATTCACAAGTACATAGATAAATGTGTCTTACCAGGACTGGTATCATAGCTGGCTGCTAGGACTTTATTATGTCCTGTGCAGTTACCTCGTGACACAGCAACATAGGCTCCAGTTTTAGCAGGCAGATACAGGATGGGAACAAAATTTGTTTTTGCTGTGATTGTTGCTACTTTTGTCATCTGTTCATCCAGTTTTGACAACTTAATTTGATCTCCATCAAGCAAATTGAGAGAATTCATTTTCAGAACTAAATTATCTGAAGAAATAAAAGAAGAATATAAATTAGAAGACCAACTGAAATATCTACTAAATTCATAATGATAATCATGCAACAGATATTTCACCACATGAAGAAAATCCATTTCAAACTTAACCTTCACACCAAATAATACCTCTAGTTTATCTCAACTACTTATTCATTCCAAGCTTGCCTTAAGGTGAATGATAAATAAAGTGGAATTAGCTTGAATATATTTTAAATACCAAACTCAAAATATCCATATAGAAAAATTTAAATTTTATTAGATCAAATGAGATGTTACTATTTTTATCATGATAATCTTTAATAAAAGCTTAAGGTTAACGTTCAAAGTCGTTTTGAGAGTATTGCAGTACTAAAAAAGATATTTTTTAATTGTATTTGTATAAAATGCTTATTATAGCAAGAAAGTTTTCAATGTGAGGAAAAACCAACTTTTATAGCAAACAGTTTTAAACTCAAAACATTGGTAAATTAATGCTACAATTTTTTTATAAAAATAACTACATTCATGCTGGTCACTCTGGAGAAACAATGATAAAATGATTTTAAACAATTCTAAAAGTACTAATTAAATTTCATGGCACCAAAATACAAAACCTTTTCACCTGCTAACAGAAATACTTTACCTGTACTATTGACTCTAGCAGGATTAATATGTGGTATTACCCATGTACACGTATGGTTACAGTTGCCTGATAAAGTGAAGACGTCACTTTTTTCTGTACTTACACTATGACAACCTTTAAAAGAAAAAGAGAAAAACAAACACCGGTTCAATTGTGTAATGTTGAAAAAACATACATCAAATGTGCAAAAGAGATAAAGTGAAATACCTTGAAGGTTTAATCCACATGAATTAGAATTGTGTTACAATTTCCTTGAAATGTCCATGTCAATAAGTATTCAAATAACAGTTTAGGAAAGAAAGAAATGATAATATGGTGCACATTGTGTGCAACACAAAATTCAATTTACCCAAACATATGAATATTCAACTATAATGAAACATTTTCCAAATAACGCTTATATGTTTTAAAACTATTATATGAAAAGTACAATCTTAATAAGACAAAAACTATTTGTGTATATTACATCTAAAGAACTTGCAAGTTTCTCATATTTACAAAGAAGAAAATTAAAATTTGTAAATATTAAATCACGAAGCCCAAACAAGTTTCCCTTTCACAGAACAAAAAGTAAACAAAAAATGGATACAGAAAAACCATATTCAAGACAAAGGAAACTATTTGGTTGTTGGCTCAGTACAATCTCAACAGATAACACGATCATTGAAAAAATCAAGCTTATCACTGAAAACAGCAAAGCCTTATAGATTAATCACATACTTAAGACACACTTTACTCTTCATCCATTAAAATTAAAACATTTTTCAACCAAGTTGAAACAAATAAACCAAAATCAGGAGTTGGAAAATGTTGGAACATGACCTAAAGTACAATAAGAGCTATTCAATAAAACTTGATCTAATGAACCAAAATGTTAAAAGCTGATTGGTGAAACTTGATATAACAAACCCAAAAGTTAAAAGCTTCTAGACAGAACTTGATCTAACGAACCAAAGTGTTAAAAGCTCCCTGTGAAACTTGATCTAAGGAATTAAAATGTTTATAGTTTCCGGGTGGAACTTGATCTAAGAAATTAAAATGTTTATAGTTTCCGGGTGGAACTTAATCTAAGGAACCAAAATGTTTATAGTTTCCGGGTGAAACTTGATCTAAGGAACCAAAATGTTTATAGTTTCCGGGTGAAACTTGATCTAAGGAACCAAAATGTTTATAGTTTCCGGGTGGAACTTGATCTAAGGAACCAAAATGTTTATAGTTTCTGGGTGGAACTTGATCTAAGGAATTAAAATGTTTATAGTTTCCGGGTGAAACTTTATCTAAGGAACCAAAATGTTTATAGTTTCCAGGTGGAATTAAAATGTTAAGAGTCTCTGGGTGGAAATGTTGAGGTTATGTAGAAAATCACATTAATGACCAAAGAGAGAAGGTTTTTTTTAGCCTTTGAACAAGATTTGAGATTAGAGGCTTTCTCAACATTTAATCATATTTTTGATAAGTAAAAACAACTTGCAAAAAAAATAAAATAAGAAACAAAAACCAAATATTTTGAAGTATGTTTGATGGCATTAAAAGTTTCACTTCAACTAAAAGGAATAAATTGATCAAATAAAGAATGCACTGTTTAAAACTATAATAAACCTAATACTATTGTCTTATGACAATTATAAAATCTCTATATATAAGGTTATTCTTAGCATCAACTCAAATAATTCTCTTAGTATAGTGCATTAATAAACATTATAATATTAAATTTTACTTAAATCTTAGTAACACAAAAAAATAAATGGGCAACAGCGGGCTAAAATATTTTTGAAAACTGAGTGAAACTGTATGGAAAAAATTACCCTTAACCCTCAACATTACTATAACTTTTTTGTTAAATATGGGACAGAAACTAACCTTTTGGAACACCTGTAAAATTTCCCGAGAAATTTTCAATGCCTGTGAAGTTGTGAGAAATAATCATCATCTCAGATGTAGAAGAGACTACTGGATAACTTGGTTTACTATTCTTCACAATGTTTGCTATCAGAGGAGAATTTTTGTAAAAAGCACTATATACTTCAATAAACGAGCCTGGTGACAGCATAGAAGAATTGGAAATCGTTAGCATTACTTGTTCATCATCTTTGACCTTGATCAGGGATACAGTATCTTTAGAAGAATTCAAGTTTATGGTTCCATTGTTTTTAAAGTAACCTCCTCCACCTATTCATATAAAGAAAAGTATGTTAAGTTTTACATACAAAAAAATCAAGAGATTTTAAACTATGAAATAATAATTTGATGCATTTATAAAGTCAAGTGGTGGACATTGTAGTATACTCACCGTAAGATGAAACTTGAATGGTAAGATTAACTGGAAAAGCTTCAGTCTGAAACGGGTTGGTGTAAGTTACAGTCATATTGTTTCCACTAGTTCGAATATATTTATCTAAAATATATGAACAAAAAAAAGTGAAATTAATAAGAATTATTGGATGAGGCAAATGCAAACTCAGGTCAGCTCACTTTCCCTTCAAGTTTATTTTTTTAAATTATAAATCATGTAAAAATTTCCATCTTATTTGTCTTAGTAAAATATTAAAAGTTCAAGTTTAGTAAGTTCCAGATTATTAGTTATGTCAGGCTTACCGAGTTCCAGAGAATTAGTTTGTGTGTTAAGGTTACCCAGTTACAGAGTACTATTTTATGTGTCAGGCCTACCTAGTTCCAGAGCATTAGTTTATGTGTGTCAGGGTTATCAAGTTCCAGAGAATTAGTTTGTGTGTTAAGGTTACCCAGTTACAGAGTATTATTTTATGTGTCAGGCCTACCTAGTTCCAAAATATTAGTTTGTGTGTTAAGGTTACCCAGTTTCTAGAAAAAAAGACTTGTAATGTTTACTAAATTCTTCAAGAATTTTGTAAAGATACACAAAACATAGTAAACATTGTTAAAAGTTATAGTATGGAAACCCTTGTGGTCATGTGATTGGTGTAATCCACCAAGGCAGTAGGAAGGGTTAATATCTGAAAGAGAATTAAACATAAATGCACAGACTTAACAACAAAGATTCATATAGAGTGAAATGTCTAAATTAATTATTTTTAAGAAAATATCTTACAAAATAAAACAAACTAAGTTTTTTTCAATCTATTCCTAACTGTGATAAACAAGAACGTGGTATATTTTACAAAAGAAATCTACCTATAACACTGAATACCAAGATAATATAAAACAATACTTGCTTTGGTAAAATCACATTAGGTATAAAGTAATTGTGTAGGTTTTGTTTTAACGTAAAACCACATGATGGTTCTCCAAGTTCCACATGAACCCTAACCTGTTGTATTACATGCCCTTAAGCTTACGACCGAGTGACCAGGTTATATGGCTTTATCAAATGAAGCTGTATTCCTTGAAGAAGAAAGATTTTAATGCAAAAGAAATAAATTACATCTTCCTTTGTACCTTTAATACTTGTATCACTGTTGGCAGAAACTTTAATAAGATTGTTGCCTGAGAGCTTTCGATCCCCATCAAATACACTGATCTCGTCCAGTACTCCCTTAAATTGCAAGTTCTGAAACGTTAATCCCAGCACAGTTTTATTCACCCCATAGAATATCCAATGACAGTTTTCTCCAGTGAAATTAGAAGATTTCAGAGTGATTGATGAATTCAAGACAACCCCTCCACTGCAATCTAAAGTTAAAAAAATTAAATACATTAAAGAACTCAGTGTTGTGTATTCTACAAGCACACCTTACTGAATTACTAATAAAAGTTATATAACAGAATTTGTTTCAGATTTATATGTTAGGGGATGTGTAGCTTTTATCAAAATGTTTTTGGCAATTACAACTATTACATAACTGAAGCTCTAAATCAATGCAAAAACAAAACAAATATGTGAAAACAAATGAAAAACAAGAACATATTTTCACAAGTTTTAAGACTAAGGTGTATTTTTCTGACAGGTGTGTAACTAAAGAACACAAAGGGAATATATTACAATTTCTGAAGAACAAGGTTAACTCATATTAACACAAAGAATATTAGTAATGTATAACATCTGCTTAGCACACAACATAAAGTTTACACCAAATTATTTTTTATAATGTTTATACCACAGTACAGATGAGTTCATCCTACATAAATTTAAATAACTACAGATAAAAAGAAGAGATCATTGTAAGTAACAAAAATTTTTTTTGTATCAAAATTACCTATATCTTTATCAATATCAAACATACCTTTAGAGACAGTGTTTGTGATAAAATTAAATGCTTGACCCAATTCTAAACGGTGAAGTACCAAAGTCATTTGAAGTCTAGCACCCAAGAGGTCCTGTGGCAAGTTTGTTCCTAGAGACAATTTATACATATCTCAGTTTTACATGGTGAAAAACAATGGAATAAATCTCTGACAAACAAATTAATTTTATACTGTTTAAAATATTTTTGTGGTTTCAGTCTTTTCGTCACAGAAATTGATTTGCGTAGTCATTTTTTAAAAGTTAAATGATTTTTTTCCCCTCAAATTCTGTTTTTATTAGTATTTTATATAAAAACCTATGGGAGATGTTTTTTCTTGCACACCATCTAACTATATATACCAAAGATTAAAACACTAGGTCTGCTACATTCAAATTATTTGGTTCTTACTATATTACTTCCATCAAAATATTATTAAAGGATGACTTATTAAGTTATACTTAACATACTGGTTCTAGACACAATTCATTAATTTGCTACTGGCCAATATTAACTACATGCTATACTTCAGTCAAGCTGTTACTTAAACAGTAAAATGGTTATGAGAGGACTTGAATTTTTCTGCTTGTTTATTTCAGTCTTGAAAGTTTTCAAATGATTAACTACTTTCTGAATGTGAACCAAGTGTAACTATTTTACAACTTACTATTAAACAAACTATTGCTACTTATCTAATACTTTACATTTAAGTTCTACGACCTTATTTTTCTTCTTTATAACTTACCATCTGACAGTATGAGATTTTTATTCATTTTTGTGTACTGAGTGCACATGAACATTTTCATAAAAGAGGTCACATTTCTGAGCCTGTTACTCCATTTTTAATCCATGTGTGCATTATCTTTATGCAGGAGAAAATGTTTATTCCTTAAAATGTATAATGTGCTTTATCTGTGCTTTACAGTTTACATACAAATGTTAATGAGATACAAGTTCAATGCAACATTGTATCAATACATGTGTATGTAATGCATTTTGAATGCCTAGTCTCAAACACTGATGCAATTGAATAAGGTAATAATTTAAGATTTATGTACATAAAATAATATTTGTATTGTTATATTATTACCTCAAACAGTTTTAAAGAATACAAATTTATTTTAACTGACTTAACCCTCTTTCCACAGGCATCCTTTACTGTGCAGGACACAAGGTTTTAGTGTCATACATAAAAAATTGTATTTAACTACTTTTTATGTTATACAAATTAGTATAGCATAAGATCTTAGCTAATAATCCATATTTTAATAGCACATAAGTTTTAATTTCTTAATTCTATAAGGCAATATTTAAAAAATCCTGAATTTCCGCTAGTGTGACATATTTTATCTAGGTATCTTCCCTATTCTATTTTATCCACCACCCCTCCAATAAGTATAAAATTCATCGTAAATTATGCACTATAAAATCATCATTGCTCAGGCAATCCATAATTTTTATAGTCTTCAATTTTATTTGGTTACAGAGCTATCAAATAGAAAATCATACCCCCTCCTGCCACACCCTCTTTAATTATATATTACCTATGACCAATAGAAAGCCAAGGTTTTCATCTACCAAATGATATATTGAATAACAGTGTGTTCTGAATAGATAAGTATCAATTTCAATTGTAGTACAGGTTTGGTTCACACGGGAATAGTAAAGACTAGCTTTGTAACAGCTCTTGTTGCATATTTAGAAAGCCAGAAAAAAATTTTAAGAGTTAGGGGACATTGTCTACTTTTTGAACGTTAATAGTCTATATTCTTTGGTGCATTATTTAATTAAATAAGAATTATTTAGTGCATTACAACCATTAGTATAAAAAAGTAGGGTTAAATGTCTTCGACAATTGAAAGCATGAAAAAAACAAAGATTGGGGAAGTACTTTATTTCTTCTTTTTCATGTTTATTTTTTATTTATTATTATAAAAGCAAATAAAATTACAAAATAGGTATCTTTTTAGATTAGTTAAGATTAGATTAGGTAAAATAAATAATAATAATATAATAAAAAGGTTTCACGAGTCACACACATGAGCAGCTCGTGGGTAATGTAATTCGACAGCATAACAGCATGTTCCCCGAGTTATTTACATATATAATGGCTAGGATAGTAGTTACACATGTTTCAAATGGCAATGAAACTTAATTACAAATAGATGTATACTGTTATGAGCTTAAAGCTACATAGGATAAACAAATGTAGTTTCATGTAATAATTTGAAATCATTCTAGAAAGAAAAAAGGTAATTTTGATTTTTTTTCTGTGGTTATAAGGTCGGCAAAATTGACCAATCCTATATAGAGATAGGATAGAGAAAATATAAAGATGTACTGAAAAAGAACGTTTGAAATGTATTTAGGAAGTTTTAGAGATTACACAAAGAAAATATGAAATTTTTGAGCTGAAATATTTGTAATCTTAACATGAAAATTACTTTGCATACGGATTATTCAAACAAATCTTCAATATATTCATGGACAAATCTTTATTTTAGTTTATTAAAAATACTTCACTAAAAAGTATTATTTTTTGTATGTGAAAAACTTGTAATGTTAACTGAAAGACTGCCAAGTTTTGTGAAGATATACATACCATATTGAAAGTTAAAAGTATTAAATCTATGAAGACTTTAAATGTGTACAAAGAGGTCACATGGTTGGTTAAATTGACTTAGCCCATGTTGAGAGAGTTATATGCTGTTCTGTGCAGGTCACTGTGTTACATTCAAAATTTGATTAAACACCTTTACTATCAATGCATGTGAATGAAATTAACATTATAATGTATGTTATGATTCGAAGTTTTATGTTATCTAAGTGTTAAGTCCTTTGTTTCAAAATAAACCTTTAAAGGCTACTTAAAACTTCAAATGTATTGTCATGTGACCAACGAGCTAAGAAAATTCTCTACTTTGGCACTCTGTTTCTTCAATAATACAATGGCAATACTGTAGATCTACGTCTAGACTATAAGATGTTTACATAACCTTTTGACTCATACACTACATGTTCTCTGAATGAATGCAGTTGAAACAAGTAATACACTTTTCAACCCCTGAAAGGTGCCAAGCCCCTTTTCAACAGATTTGTTTGAGCTTTATAACCTACAAGTTGACTTTACATAAACATGTGTATAGTCATTAGAAGTAGCTCATTGTACACCATAATCTAACAACGGTTATTTTGAAATTGCATTTTATTATTCTATGTTCTTTGGTGAATTATTTAATTAAATAAGAATTATTTAGTGCACTATTGCCATTTACAAAAAGTAGGGTTAAGTGTCATTGACAGTCGATAGCAACAAAAAAAGGCTCAAGTAAGTACTTTATTTCTTTTTTTTCATGTGTATTCTTTATATATATTATCATAAAACTAACTAAAATGTAAAAACAGGAAACTATTTACGTTAGTTAAGGCTAGATTAGGGCAAATAAATAATAATAATAATATAAAAAAGGTTTCATGAGGCATGCACGCAAACTGCTCCGAGTAGCATGTGGATAATGCAATTTGATAGTGTAACGTGAGCCGCACATTCCTCAAGTGATTTACAACTTATAATGGCATGAATAGTTAGACATGATTCAAAGGGCAATAAAACACTAAAATTTAAGTATAAATAGAAGTATACTGTTATGAACTTAGAGCTACTTAGGAAAAACAAATGTAGTTTCATGTTACAATATGAAGTCATTCTATAAAGAAAAAAGGGGTAATTTAGATTTATTTTAATTTCTTTTCAGGGGATATGAGGTTAGTCAAACTGACTAATTTTGTATAGAGTTAGGGTAGAGAAAATAACAGAAAACTATAAAGTTTTACTGAAATATACTTAGAAGGTTTTAGAGATTACATAAATGAAGTTTTGAGATTTTTGGGATGAAGAAAATTATTTTTAATCTTAAAATAAAAATCACTTAGCACTCGTACAATTAAAAAAAAAAAGGCTCGATATATTCATGGACGAATCTTTATTAAAAATACTTCACTAAAAAATCAGATTTTTTGTATGTAAAAGACTTGTAGTGTTTATTGAAAATCTGCCAAATTTTGTGAAGATACACATACTATATTAAATATTAGCAGTATCAAAACTATAACAAGTTACAAAGTGGTCACGTGGTTGGTCAATTCATCTGACTCCTTGTAGAAAGAGTTAAACTAATTATTGTGAACAGTTGCAAGTGTATTGTAGTGGAAGATGGTGACAGCTAAAAGAACAGTAATAATGAAAATGAGTTGACTTGGAGAGTTGAAACAAATACATCATGTGGCTATGTCCACTAATAGTTTTAAATGAAAAAAACTTGATTTGGATACAAAACATATGTAGGTATAAATAAATTCCCAAGGTGGACTGAACAATGGTTTATATGTAACTAAGTATCGAACTTGTGTGGAATTAAAGAAATTGTAATTAAGAACCCAAGTTTTTCTTATGCTCGATTGTCTGTGATTTTTGGCCTAACATTTAGTTAATCATCTAAACTCAGCTGCCAATCATAAACAATGTTTAGTTGATGGCCAGGTGGTTAAGGGTGCTTGACATGCAATACGAGGGTCGCAGGTTCAAATCCCGTCCCACCAAACATGCTCGCCCTTTCAGCCATGAGGGCATTATAATGTGACAGTCAATTCAACTAAAAAAGTTGGCAGTGGTTGGTGATGACTAGCTGCCTTCCTACTAGTCTTTCACTGCTAAATTAGGGATGGCTAAGGCAGATAGCCCTTGAGTAGCTTTGCATGAAATTCAAAACAAACCAAACCAATCCACTATTTGAGCAAAGATTTTGGTCTTGTATCTGGATTAATGGAGCTTTCACAACTAACATGCACAAAGTGCAGTTTGTGAGTGACGAGAACATGAATAGACACGACCAACATGCACATAGTGCAGTTTAAGAGTAATGAGAACAGGAACAGACATGACCAACATGCACAGAGTGCAGTTTATGAGTGATAAGAACATTAACTAACAAAGCAGAGTTATCAAAACTTCCAATAACATGCACTTAAAGTTTTGATGCTTTACAAAGTGAGTCATGACACACAAGGCCACCTAGCATATGTAGTATAGTGAAATCAAAAGTTTTATATAAAGGGTTCAGGTAGTGATATCTCAGGTCTGGTACAGTACAACCCATTAGATAAAAGCAAGATTTATGAAACTTGTAAAGTAACTTACCTCTGAAAATGTGATTCACTGGTTCACTTCCAAGAACATTCAAGCTGGAAGAAGGACTTAGGTTGAACTTCCTGAATTCAACTAAAAGTTTATGTCCCTCTGTGGCACGCAATGTAAAATTGCAAGTTGTTGTCTCATTCTTTCCTTTATAGAGGGGCAATTTAAAGTTTCCATAATGACAACCTTCATCACCGCAAGAACAATCTGTTAAAAAAAGAGAGAATGGAAATAAAATAGCTAAAAACAGAAGGTAAAGCTGTATTTTAAAATGAAAGTGTATTCAGTAGAAGTTCAAATATAAGTTTTTGTTGCTAATTTCAGATTGAACTTCTCATGCTGGTTCAGTGTTTAAGGAATATACATAAAATTCCAATAAAACACAGAAATCTGTTAATAATATAGAATAAAGATACAACATGAATGCTGGAGAAATTACTTAAAATTTGTAATACAGATATAACAAACAGAGAAATGACTAATACAGAACAAACAAACATTAGTGAAATTACTTAAACTCTGTTGGTAATATATAATAGATATACCACTGGCAGTAAAAAAATATATACTAAAAATATACAATCAGTGTCAATGAAATGGTTTAAAATTTGTTGCATAAATTTACAGTATGTATCTCTAATTAAAGCACCAACTCTTACTTAAATAACTGGTGAACATTTCACATGGCAGTGTTAATCATATTACACAATTTTTCTCTAAAATGAAACAGCCAATACGTGTATACACTTATATAGAACACATCTGTTCTACAGAGCTATGTGATTCAAGCAATTATGAATAACTTATGAACTAAAAATTCCATCTTCAAACTGCAACTAAATTAAGTTACTTTAAGTGAAAATTTCTTAATAACAGTCAATCAAATAATCCATTCAAATTCATTGTGAATATTTCCAAAGATTCCAATCACATGATCTCATGTCAGAAAACATAAAAAGTTCCACACTAATTACACATTTCATCAGTTGGGTTTTCTTCCCACCATCTGTGTTTATGAATGCAGAACACAATGTTTAAATACCTTCAGTGGAGTAACGAAATATAAATTTCCTTGGGTTTGTAATATTTTCTGTCTTTACAACTATAGTTAGGTTCTTGCTGCCAGTCAAAACCATAAATGGATCTGTGGAAAGCAATATAAGAACACTTAATCCATACAGCTGCACAAAAATACAAAAAACTTGTTTTACCTTCAAATATATTTGAAAACAAAACTGTTATATTTTCAAACTACCAAAACAAACTGAGTCTTTGTACGCAATCAAAACATGTTATTCAAAGATTTGTTAGACTTTGTTTCCAATGACTTTTCTCTGATCTGAAATTGGCAAAGAAAACAGGTTTCAACTGCTGGTTAGGAACTTTTAAATTATTTTGAAACAAGTTGTGACATGGTGAAATGTAATAGCCATCAAATTCTAAAAATTGTTTTATATGCAAAATATCACATGGTTCATAACATGTACTCACATGTGTGACACACTAGCACTTCAATATTTTCTCATAATTCTACCAAATTAACAATACTCATAATTAGAAATCAATTCTTCAATGCTGGGTATATTAATTCAACAAAAATGTTGGATGTTTTGCTTCATTCTAATGGGAAAAAAATATTGGATGAAATTGTTTGAAACATGATAACATTTCTAGTTGATTACATAGCTTCTGCAAAATAAAACATTTTCATATGCAGTTCTTGTATTAAGTCACAGCTTTGAAAAGTAAAATAGGTTTCATAGTGATACTTTTTTTTAAAAAAGCAAATTTTAAATGCTTTCCTTTGATGTACACTTCAATTACCAATTTATATGTTTTCATACATTCTCATAAAATGCTCAAATAAAAACTTCACAAAATAACTTACTTAAAATATAGAAAAAAAACTGTCAGTATATGACAATGAAACTTGATGGTAGACAATTACATGCAAACTTATTATTATTAACTTTGTTTAACACAAACTGGAATTTATTACAAAATATATTTATAACACCAATGAGATCACAAACTATATCTCCAGAATATATCTTTATTAGTTCAATATTTCACTCTTATAGCTTTGTTGGGATCTACTGATATCCTACAAATTCACTAATCCAGTTCCAATTTTGATTCAATGGGATTAGTGAGCTTATAGGATATCCATAGTTCCTGACAAAGCTGTAAAAGCTAAATATTGAGCTAACAAAGATACATTCTGAAGATATAGGTCATGATTTTATTTACATTTATAAAAATACAAATATATTACATTTTTTTTCTATAAAAGATTTCCCCTAAATTATAATCAAACATTATAAATAAGTCAATCATGATCAAACAGAATAATAGAAAGTGATTGCCCATGATCATGTTAAAATAATTTTTCAATAACTGCCAGAGCTAAAATAATATGGTTTGTGTGTCAATAGACATTCTGAGATAATAAAAAAATGGGAGAGGAACACTTTTCCCTGACTTTGTTAAGTTTTGGGTTAATGATTTAATTTTCTTCCACTCTTCAGGTTTTGGTCACTGTGCATGGTCATTTAATAATTCTCTGTGACCTGATGTTTAGTGAGGAACCTACAGAAATAATCAATTCAGAAATACACCAGCAACTTAAACAGCAGGCAAGTTCTAATTTGAATAATTACACTTCAACCCATGCTAGTGAGTCATCATCATGTAAGAGTTACATTTAAAAAAAAAAACAACTCTAAACTAATAACAACTCGAAACTATTGGTCATAACACTATTAAAATCAGAACTTGCCAACTGTGAAATTGTTGTTGTATTACTGTGAGTTGATTTATTAACCTTAGTCCTTAGAGCCAAAAGTTCATTGTTTGAAATGGATTAATACATGTATGTATCCTTCAACATTGAGTCTGGATATCCTTATCTTTAATGCACAACTCTGTCACATGACCAAAGCTTGTCAACAGAAAAAAAAAGCTGTAAAAGATATGACCTTTCAGAAACATGACAACTGACATCTTAATCACTATGACCAAGCAGCCCAATATAGTCAATTATCCGTATTTTCTCATCAATAACATATTTTAATCTCTATGACCAAGCAGCCCAATATAGTCAATCATCCGTATTTTCTCATCAATAATATATTTTAATCACTATGACCAAACAGCCCAATATAGTCAATCATCCATATTTTCTCATCAATAATATATTTTAATCACTATGACCAAGCAGCCAATATAGTCAATTATCTGTATTTTCTCATCAATAATATATTTTAATCTCTATGACCAAGCAGCCCAATATAGTCAAATATCTGTATTTTCTCATCAATAATATATTTTAATCTCTATGACCAAACAGCCCAATATAGTCAATTATCTGTATTTTCTCATCAATAATATATTTTGATCTCTATGACCAAGCAGCCCAATATAGTCAACTATCTGTATTTTCTCATACATCTTCAACATCTTTATCTTCAAGGCTACTTTGACATAAAAATTATAAATGAATCTCTTCTGCTGTACACAAAACAAAAATAGTTTATACTTACACTGACCCCCCTCACACTCCAATTACAGCATCTTGTAACACTGCTAACAAATTTAAATTTTTAGATATTCAAATTACAAGTATCTTTTCACAACTTTTTCTTTAACAGAAACTCTAAACTCTAGTGAGCTACAGTGGGTTTTCCTTACCAGGAAACTATTGTTTATACCTTTCATTTGGTAAGTAACTTTATATCACATGTATGTAAAGTAAGAAGTAATTATTAAACACTATGCATTCACATAAGTTAAAACTTTATCTATGTACAAATTGTATTTTTCTAACTAAATGTACATTCAACAACACAATTCTTTGAGAGATTTTGCAAGTTTATTTCACCTACCTTGTGTACCATTGAAAGGACCAAAGAGTAAAACACCTGTACTATTAACGATTGTGAAGTTTTCTTTTTCACTCATTACATTTTCAAAAATCAAAAACACTTCTTTAACCTCTCCTTTGCCATTTGGTGCAATTGTTATATTGCAGGTTGTTTTATTAATAACCAAATCTACAGTTGCACTCGTTTCATTTAAAACCTGTCCACATTCAAAGTTCTCTGGATCATCTTGAAAACCCTCTAAAACATATTAAAAGAAAAAAACAATCAGTATTTATTACTACATCATTAAAAGGAAAAAATAATAAAAGACAATTAACATACACTAAATTTCGTATAATATATTAAACTGTTAACAACTGCAAATGTTATTCATTCCTAAATACAAAATAGCTAAAAACAGGGTCATTACATCCGTAATTAAAATCCAATAAACAAGCCAAGATGTTTCAAAAACCGAGGTTAATACATCCAAAATTAAGATGTCCAATAAACAAGCCAAACTGTTCCACACAACAAGGTCACTACATCTGAAATTAATAAATACAATAAATAATCCACACTGTTCCAAAAACTGAGGTTAATACATCCAAAATTAAGATGTCCAATAAACAAACCACACTGTTCCAGAAAAAAGGTCACTACATTTGAAATTAACATGTCCAATAAAGAAGCCACACTGTTTCAAAACCCAAGGTTAATAAATCTGAAATTAAGATGTCTAATAAACAAGCCACACTGTTCCAAAAAAAAAGGTCACTACATCTGAAATTAATATGTCCAATAAATAAGCCACACTGTTTCAAAAAAGTAGGTCATTACATACAAAATTAATATGTCCAATAAATAAGTTACACAGTTCAAAAAATGGTCATTACATCCAGAATTAACATGTTCAATAAACAAGCAATAAAATATATCAAGTTTAAATTGGTTTTGTCTCAGTTTATATTATGATTACACTATCTGAGTACATGACATTTAAAACACTATTAAACCTTGTTATTCTCATTTTGACAGTTATTTCATATTTAGCAAAACATACTACCTTACACATTGTTAAGGCCATACAAGTTTATATATCCTTTACGAAGGTAGAGGATGAGGTTGACAATAATCCATGAGCATGTTGCAAATTAAATTAACACATAACAAAAGGGTTAGAAATGCAATAGCATGCAAGTTTTTTCTTTCTTTTTAATTAACTGAAAGACTCAAATGAAGAAGAAATAAATATGATCTCACTGTTACAAGTGTTTTCCTCCACTGGACAATACATAGCCAAAATAAGGAAGCAATAGATGGCACTAGTCGTCACTGAAGGTTTATATAAAAGTAGTCGAGCTTCCATCAATAACTGTTATGATTATCTTGTATGCTATCATCTAGTATAGATGATTGGATAATACTGCTAACTTTAAACTAATCCAGTACGTTAGTTCCTTGTGCTTCTTATTTGTTTGTTGAATCTTGCACAAAGCTACTTGAGAGCTACCTATACTAGCCATTCGTATTATGGAAGTGACACACTAAAAGAAAGATAGCTGGTAAACCCCAGTCAATATATCGGCTCTTGGGCTACTATGATCAAATAGCGGGCTTGATTGCAAACCTTATAATGTGCCCACAGATCCTACACACAGAGTAAACTTTTGTTTACAGCAACTGAGCACAAACCACAGAACTTGAGATCCACAGTTTGGTATATTAACCCCAGACATTGCTCTTCTCACTTTCTACAAAAAAGCTTACTTTACATAATGAACTTAAAGATGGTTGTAAATATTTATTATCATTGTACTCAACTAACACTACAATATATGGTACTTAGGTGGAACACAACTGGTCATGGTCAATAAGGTTGCATGACTCAGAATCTTTGAGCACGTTACACAGTGTTCTTGTACAGTATATTTATTTATCAACTACAGTATCAACATTTCACGATTATACATCTTTGGTAGTTTTCTACAAATGGTACAGTTGCAATGGTACACTCTCACTTGTGTGTATATATACATGTTTCACTCCCATTTATATATTGCTATTACTCCCCTAAATATATACACATTTCCCTCCTGGTTATAATATATCACTATTAACCCTTTCCACACGGGTCAAAGGCCATGTTGACTCACATTCAAAATGTTATTGAACTACTATTTTATGAATTTGTCAAGAAATTTGATATCAAACTGTAGATTATAATTCAAATTTTAGTATGATACATTATTTAATTTCTTAATTTAAAAGTAAATATTAAAAAAACACACCTAAACATCAATTTTTGTGTGTCACATGGTATACTGAATGCAGCACTGGTTCAAATTAGATGTTTGAGATGTCAAAAATAAAATTCTATAGTTTTGTATGAATTGTAAACTCAAATTACTGATATTGACAAGCTAGAATACAAAATAAGAACCTCCTATTTGCTGAGATATCACTCATGTATTAAATCAAACAGTGGCCCTGCTCACCTCTTTCCATTTTCGGAAACTGTCCCATATTTATACATACTTTTGTATATGACATGTGAATATCCAATCAAAAATTCAGAATGTCCTACCAGTGGCTTTCTCAGCCATTTTGAAATATATTGCGTTATTTCTTTCTTTTGATACAATATGGCATAGAGATAAGTGGAGTCTTTAGTCTGCTTAGTTACCGAAATTGATAAATTATAATTGAGTTCCATGGTATCAATATAGTAATTTATGATTTTTTTGGTTATTCAAATGTATACATAAACCTAAAAAAAAATTATTTCGTTTCACATCCTCCACGTACAAAATTTCTGAAGGCTTAGTAAGCTACGACAAGCAGCAACCGAGTATAAAGGTCGGAACTAGAAGAGATAATTGTTTGGTTTACTTCTTTATTTACTATTCTATGTTTTAATAAAAATAAGTTTAAGAACTTATTTCTAAATAGCAATAATTTATATACATATAAATAATGTATAATAATGGAAATGTGACTGTATTTTACAAAATACTATTCCACTACAACACAGCCATGACAGGTCACTTTGTAAAGACTAAAGGTCAGTTATATATTATTGGATACAGTAACACAAGTGCACATGCATCACGTCATTGTAACTTCTGTATTGTTAGCCATGGCAGAGCTGACAGGTCAGTATAATAAAAATAATAAATATATATATATAAATGTACAATTTTATGAGATTTAAGTCTATCTATTCTAAGCATTTACATTTTCGATGTTATAATTTGTAGTCATTCTAGGACGAAGAACTCATAATTTATATTTATTCCTAATTTTTTATGGTTGGTATGAGATCGGTCAAATTGACTGAATCCGTACCGATGTTTTCGTGAAAATAACAGATAAAATATAAAGTTTTTCTTAAGACACATTTGATAACTATCTGGACATTATAAAGATTTCGCATGTAAAACTTGAAAATTTTCTAATGCATAAAAGTATTTTTAATCTTAAAATGAAGATTATTTTGCATGTTGGATAGGCAACAGGCAAAAAGAAAAAAAAAAAAGGCACGAGAAAAACATTGCTTTAGTAAAAATCTAAAATAATATCTTATTTTTCAAAAACTACATACTTATAGGACCTTTCATCTCAAATTTAAAAGAATTTCATTCACTAGTTTCATTTTTGTAAAGAACTTTCATGAGAGTTGCATACCTACTTACAATGTAAGTAGATCATAGTCAAAGGGTTAAAACCATGTGTACTTATCAGTTTCACACTTGTGTACATAAGGCAATCACAAAACTAAATAAATAAATAAAAATTTCCAGTTGCAATGAATTTTGAACTCACTTTGGATGTTTTAACACAAAATAAAATCCTATTTAAATTTCATGTTTAAAAAACAGTCTCACACTTTCTCAGGTCTACTAACCTTTTGAAACTACAAGGCATACCTCAATAGCTATCAACAGGAAACCTGCAAAAAAACAATAATTCAATTCACCAATTCAAAATTTGAGTTGTTTAATTACATATAAACACCACAGATATATTTTATTTATTTGTATAAAATATTGTAACTTAAGAACTAAAAATGGTTAAAAACTATGGTTTCGTACTATATATACTTTTGATTAAGCCCAAACTACAGAAGCTGTTGAAATTTCTTGTCAGACTAACAGGAAAGCCTGGAGTAATAAAACAAAACATGGTTAATTAAATTCACCAAGGATAATAGTTTCTCAGCAAAATGTAAAACTATGCTATAGGATAAACAAAAAATTCTATAGAAATGAATGGGCTTTATTTATAGATAAAACTCTTTAAAGATGTGCAGAAACTTTAATTTTTATTCTGAATTACACTAGATAAATGTTATAAAAACAAATTATTGACACAAAAATATTTTTTAGTTAATTAATGTTCAAGTATGGTTAGAATTATCATTTTTACTTAACTTTTGAAATTTGATATGAAGGTATGCACTAAACACTTGAAATATGTTTTGTAGTCAAGAAAGGGTAAATCAAAAGTACTTATTAAAAACATCAATTGTTTTAAACTTATCGTGCTGTAATGAAATGGTCAAAATTGGACTTTACTATTTAATAATCTTACAAGCAAGCAAGGCTACAGAAAATATGGGTAGGAAATGTTGCCAGATTATGAAACATTTGTAGGTTCCCCTTTCAGTGTACATTTATGTATTGTATAGATAACTTCAAAAAGTATACATAATACCTGTAACTTCAGTAACTAATTTTTTTTTAAATAATCAATAAACTACATTATTTAGTCATGTTAGAAATAAATGGCAGATTACATAGCACTTGTAACACGGAATAATAGGTGCATCACATATTGGATATCAAAAAATGTTCCCACTGAATACTTAAAAAACAGGATTCATACTAAATCTAAATCAAACTTACAAAATAAGAGAACACTCTTCATCTTTGCTGAGATGCACTACTTTAGCACTAGTACCTTCAGCTTCTAATATTTATCTACAATAAAAATAACAAAAAAGTTAAAAGCATACTTTATAATTATAAAAATACTGCTAATTTGTTGAGTCATTTATATTATTCTAAAATTTAAGCTATTTCTTTACACTTCAAGAATTGTATGGTCTAATGTGATACAATGGGCAGCAACTGCCTTGGGAATAGTTCCTTTATAATCTGAAGAATGAAGTCTTTCAAAATGCCATCAGACGATAAAGGAAATGCTCCTCATGCAGTTGCCAGCAACTGTATTGCATTGTACATACACTGCCTACTTTGCAGATCATCTATGAAAACCATAATACTTAAAACAATATAGAGATGACATACACTGACCACACTGGTGATTCTATGACATAAGACTTCATCCACGACCAACAATTTACCACTTAATAAACCAGGTTAAAACAACAATACCAGGAACAATGACTTGTCACCCAATCAAATCAGATCAAAATAATACCAGGAACACTGATCTTCACCTAATCAAATCAGGTTAAAACAATACTAGGTACAGTGATCTGTCACCTAATCAATCAGGTTAAAGCAACAATACCAGGTACAATGATCTATAACCTAATCAATCAGTTTAAAACAATAATGATGGGTTCACTGATTTGTCACATAATCTATCAGGTTAAAACAAAAATACTAGGTACACTGATTTATCACTCGTTCAAGCCTAGTTATAACAACAATACAAGAAACATTGATTTATCACTTGCTAAAGCCTAGTTAAAACAACAATAATACAAGGAACATTGATTATCACTTGCTCAAGCCTAGTTACAACAACAATACAAGGAACTTTTTTTTATCACTTGCTCAAGCTTAGTCAAAACAACACAGTCCAAATTAAGAAGGTAAAAATAAACCACGCTTTTGGAATAAAATATTAGAACAAAGAGTAAAAAAATTTTTTCATCACTTTCGTGTTTCCTTTTCAATCCTACAGTTTTTGCCTGTACAGCTTATGTAATGCTCAACTGGGAAATTATTTGAAAACAAACATGGTTAAAAACTGTTCAACTTGGAGTTATGTTAAAGTTTAGTAAACTCTTAATACTTTAGTGTTAAATAATGCAACTCAAAACAACATTTCTACTTTAAAGAATTTACAATATATCATTCATCTAAAATTCTCATCTGAAATCTAGAAAAACCTTTTTTGAAAATAATAAACTGAGGAAAATGATAAGAAACTACAGTGCTTGAACTCCAGGTTAAAATTTGAACCCAGAGAGTAAGTCCTAAACAAAATTTTATTGTCACATATAACACTATTAAAATAACCTGACTTCAAAGAAAACCATAGAACAAGATACAATACATGATATCTTTACTGTTCCATGCCAGTCCTGTGATAAAGTATATGTTGGAAAAAATCTAAACCCAAGAATACAAAAAGGACATTAAAAATGGAAATACAAATAATGCAATATTTTCCATATAAAGAATTATTGAAAGTTGTATTATCAAAATTGTACTGAACTGTAAAACCTCTGAAAGCTGAACTGTTTCCAGAACATGCGTGTCCTCAAAGGAACTTCAAAATCAGGTATCACTTGAGCTGTGTGGGCAAATTTCTTATAAGACTATGAAAAACTGAAGAGTACACATTAAAGTGTTCAATCTAGTTTCCTAATTTTTGTGCTAATATTTTGCTCCAAAAGAGTGGGTTACTTCATACATTCACTTAGCTAACATACATGGTATTGTGTATTTGACATTTAACACTAGGAACATTAGTTTCTCTCCTGATCATGACTGGTTAAGACAACAGACTATGAACACTCATTCATGATTCATCAAGACTGCTTAAAAACATATAACATTGATGTCTGTTTAATTTCTACACAAGTAAAGTGATCATGAAGGAAGAAAAGAAAGCAGAAACTTATGAAAAATCATTTATATGCAAACTAAAAAAAACATCATCCAAATATTTTTATTTTAACTAGTTTATGCTTTGGTATTACAAACTCTAAGTAAAACTGTAAGTAAAAACATATATGATGTGGGATACTTAGTTTCATTACATAGCCGATTAAAGAAACTAAATAAAAGATTCAAATAAAAATAAACTATTTTCACTGTTCTTTTATCTATGGAGAGCAGTGCCCTATGATGAAAACTGAAAACAAATTTTATGCTTGTTCTTTATCAAACAAACCCTGGGCTTTGTCCTGACAACTGATTACGCACAAAACTAAAAAACCAAATATATCATACAAGTCTTATAAAATACTATTAGACAAAAGCCATGTAGTGGTATAATTATAGATAGCATAACCCTCCCCATTTACTGCACAATTAATTTTCAACTTTAATCTGCAAGACTGTTTACAAGAGTGGAAATACTCCAAAGGTTACAAATCAGGCAGAACACTGTTTTACACAACACCTATGTCTACTTCTTTTTGGCAATAAATATTACATTAAAAAGCTCTGTGTGTATACAATACAGTTTTCATTCCTCTGTGTAAAATTCTGATCACATTACCATAAGTGTATCAATAAACTAGTAAAATCTACCTGCAGTTCTGTTACAATTACCACAACAACCATGTCAATAAAGAGTGCAAATAGTCTGAAATGATACTTGATTTTTTTTTACTTTGAAAGTCTATTTTAAAATTTTTCTGAAGGTGACTTGACTCAGATATTCTCAGTTCTGCTGTTGTTGAGAATGCTGTCCCAGTAATTTTCAGACATATTCTAATATTTTTTAGCAACTGATTAAGTGAAAGTTACTTACATTATAAATATTTGCTTCAACATAATATATTAACTTGAAATAAAACAATCTAAAATAAGATAAACTTATAACTAACATATAAAAAAACTATACATGCTTAATCTTAACATATGGTTATCATAACAATAGATAATACATAAAAATATAACAGAAAAGTTAATGAAACTTGGTAAATGCTGACATATGTTCTGTATTAACAATAATTTGATGTGCATACCTCAGTCTTTTAAAACACTTGAAATTTATCTTTCAAATTAATTTTTGATTCTCTGTGAAAAATGCAAGTTTGGCAAGTCAAGTGTGCTATTATTGGAAAAATCTTGTGTAATAAAATTTAGTTAGTACACCCAAGATGTCCAAGTAAAATACAATGTGAAATTTGTAATAACTCTTGTGGAAGCAGTTAATATATAACTCTGATAGCTTCATATACTAAGGAATGTCAAAATAAATCAGTGTAATATGAAAATATTTTATACAAACTGCAGACATAATATTAATAAGATATGCCAAACATTCATAACTTTCAACAGAACTGTCAAACAGTAAGTTTCAACAGAATTTGTTAGGTAGAAATGTAAGTACATCAGTTTAATTAATTGTTTAACTAAAATATCCACTTATTAAAAAACTTTTAAGTTTGTTTCTTAAAAATGGGTTTCAGTTTTAGTTTCAACAAAGCTAAAGTTTAATGTACAAAGTACAATGGAAATAGTGCAAATTATCAGCCATTATAATTTTAAATAATTATGAATATTATTACTTTTTCTAAAGTTTCTAATGAAAAAATCTATCAACTTTAGTCTTTAAAACTTACAAGACTCCGGTGTATGATACGCTTTAGTTTAGGCCTAAAACCATGCATTTACCCACAGTTAGTACCATTACTAGTTTCTACTTCATTTCAGTTACGGTTTTGGTTTCTTGTCGAATTTCCTAATGACGTCATCTAAGTTGCAAATGTCCCGGAGGCGTGCTAAAGACTAGCTATATTAGCATAGAGGAGTCTTAAGCATTAAAAACAATATGTGAATTACGATAAAGTTATCTATAATACAGTATTACTAATAGTAATATACTAACTATAATCACTCTAGTAGTAGTACTAGTATTACCACTATTAGTAAATATTATATAATTCCTGCAACTTATTTTACTTCTCGCAAATTAAACTTTTTCAAAATTATAATAAGGAATTTAAGAATTGCTTACGGTCTGGTGAAAAAGAAAAAGGGGTAAAATATTCCTGCCTTCTGGTAAAAGCTAAATAACAACGGATTTTGTAATATTAACTCAATAACAGTTATACAACCGTTTTCGTTGAAGTTGAAGAGATTAATAATACACCCCTTACATAGGTGTCGCATTATTTGACCTTGAAAACTAATATAATTTAATTTCCTAATAGTTTATAAATATTTAGACTTTAAAACTACAACGTTAACAATAATTAACACGTTTCATTCAAATAATGATTGAAAATGTTTCATTTGATGTCTTTATCGAGTCCGTTTTTTGTTTTTTGCCGAATTTTATAATGATTTTATCTTTACGGTTTCGTCATCTAACAATACTCAATTTAAATTCCATGCGAACTCCATTCTAAAGTTCATTCTAATCATTATGCGTTTATTTTATTTTCTAATGCATTAATTTATGAGATTTTGTATATTTACTCGTTTTTTAAAATAAAGAGTTAACCTTATTAATCTATAAGTTAGTTTTTTGAGTTATCTGAGTTTTATCTGTATAATTAAATTTTAAAATCAATAAGCCAAACAATTGTTAACTATAAACTTCTTCTTCCACATATCTCAGAAAAGAAATGTGTCGAAGAAGTGTGTTGTTCCAGACTGAGAAAACTTAGTATTGTCTAAATGAAACAATGATGTTATTCTTCTCAGTGCGCGTGGTCACTCCAATCGCAAAATAAAGAAGGCTGTATACTCGAGGTATGACCTAACCTGTCAGTAGAAAAGGTCACTGTTCATTTCTTTACAGCATGTTACCCTTTACATAAGTATTTACCTAGAGAAAGCGAATGTGACATCTAGTTTTAATAGATAACTAGGTTGAAAGGAGCTTTGTGACTTCCTTGAACAGCATCCTGCGTTACAACTATATAATTCGTATGTATTAAACTTAAAAAATATATATATATATATATATCACATAAGGTGGTGGTAAACATCACACATATTTGCCATAAATACATATTCAAATACAAAATACATGTCAGTAGTTGTGAACTAGGTTTTTCGGTTAGGTATAGACATATTTTTTACATATTTAAAAGAACAGGCTCACTGATAACTCTGTAACTATGATATAAAACATTTAATCATAATAACATGAAGAATTACACTATTAACTGACCACCATATCATCAATGTCTCCTTCTCTCTCCACCTACAAGCTACTCTCAATCTCTCATCTCCTTTCTCTTGCCCTCGTTATAATAAATCTAAATATAGAGTTCCTTTCACACTGTCCATCACTGTCGGGGTGGTTCAAATTCATCATAGATCAGGTTCCTGTCAGTCAAGGAATACTGCCATTTTAATGAAAACTTAATTTGATTGTCATATACAGACTTGTATGTCAAGTGGACCATGATGTAATCAGAGTTGACCCGTGTTGTGCATCTGTGTATGTTCTTAACCGGAAGTAATCCTTTACAACCACAAAATAAAATAATGATGCCAGATTCTCATGTAATCAGAATGACCCGTGTTGTGTATATTTGTATGTTCTTGACCGAAAGCAACCCCTTACAACCACAGAATAAAATAACGATTCCCAGGTAATCTGTTTTTCGAGTATGTAGTACGTCCGATGTATCCAGACAAAGATACTTTGATAAGAATGTCTCATCAATAACAAGTAATATAAATCACACCAAGATCATACACGTGATTAAACTGTATATGTGTGTGTATTCAACGCGTAACTTTTACAATGTCTAGTTATCATCAAGAGGTATGTACATTCTCGTAAAGAACATATATTGAATATATATATCAAACTTCTTAACATTATCCAAGGGACAACTTGCCAAATGAGGCCCTTCTTGATTATTCTAGACGTCAGTCTGACAGCTTTTCCATGTTTGTACAGATTTTCGTTAAATACCTCACATCCACATTGAAATGCTGTTGTAAGCAGATATAAAAGTGTATTGCTCTCCAACAGACAGAGTGCAGGCCGCATTAGACCCGCGAAAGGCTGATATAAGGCCTGCACTATGATCAGATATTGAACATAAAATCCTTAATCTAATTCTGATTTGTTGTGACGTAAATAAAATTGGTGTAAATGTGCACTTCATTAACTTAATCCAGTTCACACCATAACAGTTCTTTTCAAGCAAATTACTAATGTAAACAGTGTCTCAACCATTATTAAATATGTGGTATTCCAGCTGCCCGAAATAACTATGGCATTGTTGAAAGGCTTCATTGGTGCTGGATATAGCACGTATAGTGTAGATGAGTTATTATTATTCACCATTCTTTGCTTTCACTCAGAAGTTCTTATTAATAATCCACATACCAATTGTTTCTGCATGGATTCAGAATAGATATTTTTTCCCACTACTAATTCAATCCTTACTGATAATGTATTTTCTGGTTTTGTTTTTCTTTTCTTACAAACATCAGTATATTTGAAGGGTGGTTGGTCAATTTTGAAACGTTCAAGATTTCCTAGTTCATTAACATTCTTCTTGAATAAACAATGCTTGTATAAAGATTCTTCAATAGGTGTGGTGAATTAATTGGACATAAACTAAAACATTTTAAGTAATTTCCTTTGCTTATAAATAAAAAGATAAATGCTCAGGAATCTTGCTTTCTTAAACCACTGGATACATGGATAAACAAAGAATATTATCCACAATTATATGATAACGTCTACCAAAATAGTCGCTAAAAGTCTACAATAATAACTGACCATAACTAGTCTTAATTATGGGTAACAGGAGAACTACGAAAAGCTTGTGTTACCACTGTGCTTTAGATCATCAATTTCATGCCTTCGCTGTTAGTGGTGTTTTTTGGTTAATACTGGCAAAACACGCTAGAAGCAAAATTTAAACACGTTAATTGATTTAGCTATCTTTTTTTTTTGTCATAGTTGAAATGTACGTGTTGGTGTTTTTGAAACAACAAGTGCTAAAACTTATTAATTTGACTTAGAACTAATGAGAGGATTCTGTTGATCAAGTAAGATTTATAAATTTGCTCCTAACTTATTATAAATAAGTTTTTTGTTTTGATACTTTTGAAACTTGAAGTTTGTTTGACTGGAAAACGCCACTCATTGTTACGTCCTCGTGTGGTGTTATAACACCCTTACATGGTATATCAACGGCCTTAGATGGTAGTTCAACATCTTTAGGTGATAGTTCAACATCCTTGTGTGGTTCCAACGCTCATGTATTGATATTCCAACGTCTTCATATGGCATTTTAAAATTCTCCTATGGTATTTCAACATCATTGTGTTGTACTCCTGAAATTGTTTGGAGGCTTTTTGCTATCTAGCCTTCTGGATTGCGAGAATTCATCAACCACTTCAATGCTGCAATTACACGTAATGATGGAATTGACTTAAGGCTTGAACAACACTTAGTAGCTCTTTCCGAGATGTACAATATCACCTTTCTGCAACATGTATTGCCTTATTATAGTGTGCAGTTACAAGTTATTTTCCTTGTTGTACTTATGATAACACTGCTCACACTGCATCTATAACAAAAATGAAGGGATCTTCAAAAATTGGATATGCTGGTACAGTAGTCGTGGTCAATTTTTACTTGAGATTACTGAATGCTTGTTCACAATCAGCAGTCCAACAAAAATTATCTGGTTTTTCAGGTAATTTTGAGTAGATGATGAGTTATGTCAGATAATGATTTTACTAAATGATTAAATTAAGAACACAGTCCAAGAAATCCTATTAACTTATGCAAGTTCCTTGGTGCTAGCAAATTTTTAACATAATCGATCTTAGATAGGTCTGTAGATACCCTTCTTTGTTGACTATGTGTCCCAAGAGACTCACCTATTGATGGAACCATTCACAGTTCTTGGGATTCATCTTAAGGTTGTCCTCCCTCAATCAATCTAGAACTTTCCTTAGCCCATCATAAGCGTTATCAAAGGTCTTCCCCTGTGTGATTATGTCATAGAAGTAAGTGAGTATTATATTCGAAGGTAGTTCAGACAGAACACTCCATTAATTGTTGAAGTGTAGCAGGTGTATTACATAATCTAAATGGTAATGCAAAAAATTGCCACAATCCGTTTCCTGCAGTAAAAAGCTGTCTTCTCTCCTTCTGAGTTGTCTACTTACACTTGCCAATATCTACTCTTCAGTTCCAATGTTGAAGACCATTTTGATCGAAATAACGCACCCAAAGTAAGGCCAATTATTGGTAGTGAGTTGGATTTCCTCATTATGATTTCATTCACCTTCCGATAGTCCAGATACAATCTTGTGAATCCACCCTTCTTTTTCACAAGTAAATATAAAATGTACAAGGACTAGAACTCAAACCTATCTTTCCTTCTTATCTAATAGCTTCTATCTCTTTAAAGCCTCAGCATGTTTTGTAAATGGAAGTCGGCTGGTTAACTGGTATATTAAAGCTGCATCTCCGGTATCAATCTTATAGAATATTTTATTTGATTGGACTAAGCCAAGCGGTCTACTGAAAAATGTATCTTGAAACTTCGTGAACAAGCCATGTAATCTCTGCCATTAATCAGCTGTAAGACCTCTACGATTCTGGTTATACAGCTCTTGTGAGTAAGGTGGTAAGCTGTTGATGTGGAAGTACTACCTTCACAGCCTAACATCTTTCAGTGTCCCATCCAGACTTGGCTCAAATTTTATAGTTTGTTATGTTCATGGCTTTACTTATGACATCTTTATTCTTCAGATCAACAAAAATTCTTCCAACCATCAATCTCTCAGGACATGCTGTATTATTTAGTTCTACTACAACCCAGTCACTAGATCTAAAGTTATTCCTAATATGTCCTGGTATGAGTACTTCACTTCTTGGGGGTACAATAACTGCTCTTTTTGCTATCACTGGAAGTTCAAACTCTGGTGTAGTAATTATCATGAAGTACATGGGTATTTCCTGAAATTAGCTTAACCTTGCTTCCAGTCTTCGCGTGAAGTCAGTTACTAATATTCACTATTTTTCAATGTCAATCTTTCACACACCATGAAGTACAGAGTATAGGTAACTTCTAATTTTCTTCGTACTGGAATTTTATGTCCATTGGCTATTTGCATCAGTCCATCTTCATTCTTCATCTTTGGAGGTAATTTCCCACTTTT